CCATCTTGATGACCAAAGCAGGGGGGCAGCCGAGGTTTTCTCCGTAATAATGGCTCTCTGTGTCCTCTCTCTGTCTGTCTCTCGCTCTCCCTCTTCCAGGAATCTGGGACAAAGGGAGAGGGCGTACGTGGAGGGCCAGATGAGAACCTTAGACGAAGGTTTACGACTCAAGCAGCAGCTGATTGAGGAAGGAGTGCTGCTCTGGAGGGAGAAACAGGTACATTACCAGAAAGTGCCGTCTGACACGAAGCAGAAACACAGAAAAGCTTCATACTAGTGACTGTTATTCCTTGTTTTTAACAAAAAAAACAACCAAATTTTGCCCTTGAATTTTATTTTTGTTCATCTCAAGCCACATTTGTTTTTTTACCATCTGAATGACAGTCTGTTATTAGATTCTATCAGATTCTCCTAAGTTTTACTGCATTCTGACAGTGTTTACAATAATATTTATCTGATTAAAATAAGGATGAATAACATGCACGGATCGGACATGCCATTAATCGTAATCGCCTACATTTTCTTTATGATCTGCTCTGACTAGTGACAGTTAGTCAGACGGTTAGCACATGTATTTTACCAAATTACCATAGCTTAGCGTATAAGACGAATACATATAAAAAGCTCACACACAAATTCCACTTCATTTAGACTGATGAACAAACGATTGCAAATTAGTGGTCTAAGTACAAGTTGAAAAGTTTTGACTTTGATGGAGAAGCACAGCTAGCTTCTTCATATTTAGCACCAAGCTATATTGATTGGTGGCCCCAAAAGCTAAATAGTGTATTGCTATTGTAGTAGAAAGAACTTGTACCAGCTCACTTAATACTGTACATGAGCTAACTTTCAAATTCCTTGACAGCACCACCTGCAGGTAGGAAAGAGAGTGTGTACTCTGGGAGTATAATAAAACAAATACAGGAAACTGATAACTATATATCTGAAGTCCATAATTTGGGGTAGCAGAAAATGTAGACGGAGGAATGATTGTCAGTGACCACTGTATGACAGATACCATGTTGAAGCAGAGGGTTATGAGGCATGATTTGAAAGTGTTGTGGATATAGGGAGAAAGGGGATTCCAGAGGGTTGGTGAACCCACACTGAAGGCATGTGTTCCTTAAACTTTTAATTTGGTTTGAGGGATGGACAGCAGGCCCGTGTCTGAGGAGCACAGGTTCCAGGATGTGTTGGTGGGAGATATCAGAGAGGTGTTTGGGGCTGAGGGCATGGGGGCATTTATAGGTGATAGGAAGCAGTTTGTAAGAAATGCGGTATTTGACTCGGAGCCAGTGAAGACGTATGAGTGTGGGAGTTATGTGCTGTCAGGGCTCGGTGAAGGTGAGAACCCTGGCAGCTGAGTTTTGCACATGCTGGAGCCTGTCCAGGATTTTAGTGGGAACCCCAGACAGGACTCCATTGCAGTTCTAGACGGGACTAAAGGTATGAACCAAGGTTTCAGCAGCAGAGTCAGAGAGTGAGGGCCAGAGACTGGAGATATTTCTGAGGTGGTAGAAGGCAGACCTGGTGATGGATTTGATGTGAGAGTGTGGAGTCCGAAGTTGTGTATTTCATGTGATGGGGTGATTGAGCAGCTGTCAGTTTGGAGGAGGAGATCCCTAACCTTCTGGAGCACAGGATTTGGGGTCACAACCTGCCTTTGTTGTGGTCCAACATTTCACCTCATCTCTAATCTCTTTTTTATATGTGTCATGCTGAAAATGTGCTGGTCTGAATTAGCAGCTCATGCTCTAAGACATTATTGTGACCAGACTTGTTTACCTGCTCCTGCACCCACTTTCCAGCCATTGCAGCTGCATGGTAATCAATCAATGCCATTTTTCAATGCGTATCTTCCCATTTCAGCATAGAAGCTGTGTGTGTATGTTAAGAATCCTGGTCAGAACCGTCATCATGTATCTGTTGACATTGACTTGACCATATCAGAGGTATAATTCATTCAAGGGTGATGCTTTGCTTACAAGTAAACTCTAAGAATGCGCTTGTAAGGAGTAAACCTGCGACTGTGAGTGAACACAAATAAACAAATACCTGTGTAATGGAACCCATTTAACACCAAGGTTTCTCCTTTAGACTTTTAAGGCCAGCAGAATCTTTTTTCATTTTTAGCTCTTCATTTAGTTCAACAAGCACTGGGCCAAATTACAAACTGGAGCCCTGGAGTTCGGTGTAAATTAAATTGGTGAATTTGGCTGCCTGGAGTCTCTTTGGATTTTTTTTGTTGAGTTATATTTACCGGTTCGCTGATCTCATTACTTAATGCATTTATTGTGCTTAAGGAAATAGGACTTTCTCTCCCTCCACTGATGAATGGTCCGAGCTGGCTCACAAAGTGCAATTTAATTTTCCTTTGCTAGAACATTGGTAATTGAAATTGGCAAAGGATAGCAGCAGTGTATTGTGTATTTTGATATATTCCTTTCACTGGCAGCCATGTTTGAAACTTTCTGTCAGTATTCCCCTCTGGCCCTGTGTTATTTTAGGCATATAAGATGTATTAAAGCACTTTACGCAACCATTAGTGTCTTAAATTTTCAGATGTACTGTAAATGATCCATTTAACAGCACTTATCTGATAGCTGAAAGCCACTTGAATCTGATTTGCCAGCTGATTGTCTCCGAGTGCCTATCTTTGTTCCCTATTTCCGACGTTCCTTGGCAGCAGATTGGCAGATGGAGGCTGAAGTGTCACCCGGCCCCCTTAGCTCCTGCTGTACTTTCTGATCTTCTCCTCTCTCTGTGTCTCTTTTGGTCTGACTGAGTTTCCTCACTAGTCACATCTTCAAAACCTTTTCCCATGTTTCACGGGTTGAAGCGATGTCTGCTACTAAGGAAATGGCACATAGAAAACATTTTTTAAAGCTGTTACACAATAGAAAACTAAGTATAGAACACTGTCACTGAAAACTTGGCCCTAGAAAAACGTGAATCATGGTCTGAAAAAAAAAAAGTTCAATTAAGTACTTTCTCCTTAAATCTTTTTTGTATCGTCAGGATATTGTCAGGAAGTACTGAATGTGCTTGGACCCAATATACCTTATGTGTGTAATAAACAGTATATGTGTGTATATACACATCTATCTATCTATCTATGCAAAGTATAGTCAAGTACAGGTAATTTCTCTTTTCACAGGATTAATACCCTCACAGAAATGGAGGGAAAATGAGTCACAATGTGTCAACGCCTGGTTGGGAAGGAGGTTTTCTTACTTATGTCTGCTGTGACACTCTCAGACATTTAAAAAGTACTGCATCAGACAGGTGATGTTGTCTGTTAGGGACCATTATACTCAACTATTGTTCCTAATTTACTTTCAGCTGAAAATCCATTGTGAAGAAGAAAGTTTCATAGTTGTGTTTTCTGGTGTTTTGCCCTGATGTATAGGCCCAATAATGATGTAGCATGAAGCTTCAGTCTCCCAAAGAATGGCATTTCTTAGATCAGGGATCCCCAAATTGTGGTATGAGCTGCCACTAGCGGGTCAGTGAGATAATAAGAGGCATAACAATTTTAAGATGGATTTTTCCACACACTGTTATGTAGATAAACATTTATTTAAAAAAAAAAAAAAAAATTAAAAGCAGCCCGTGAAGCAGTGCGTGGATAGGGTTCCATGCTCAGACCATTGGTAACTTGGCAGCTGGTGGACTTGAACCTGAAGCCTTGTGGACCCAAGTCTGCTTCCTTGTCCACTAAGACACCTATGTGCAGGTGTTGTTCTCAAATTGTTCTAGTAGTCTAATACAGTCAAACGGGGCTGCTAACTTACTTTTTAGCAATCCAGCAAGCAGTTCTCTCTGATATTTTTCTAGGTGTCCCAGAGCTTGTTTTGACCTCCACTGTACTGTCAACTGCCATTTCTTATTTACATTCCGAACACAGAAAACTGGTTCATGACTCTTCTTAGAGCCTTAGAGTGCTTTGTAGGCATCAATCATTTTCAGTGTCAGAGTTCTAGGCAACAGCTTAGAGGAACATGTGGCTCCTGATGGTTGGGCCAAGATCAGAGGAGTCAGGATATTTGTAAAGCTTAAAAAAAATTATGATTGTGAACAAGCCATGACCCTGCGAGGCTTATACAGGTCTCACACCCCTTTGACAAGTTCTTATACTTGCCAAGGAGGGGGCTACTAGGCTATTCAGGTTGCCTAAACCTTTGCTGTGGTCTTTGTTCTGTTATTTTGAGAATGTAAAAAATAAAGATAAAACATGATTGTGTTGAAAAGTAAAGCGAACATTTTATCCATAACTTCATGCCTTTTGGAGATTATTTCATCTTTCACTTTCAATTTTGACCAGGGGTGCACAGACTTTTGCATGCTCGTGTACTTCCTTTTGGATTGGAGCAACATATTGGTTTGTTTTTTGTTTTCCATTGTGCATGTTAATGTTTCCCTCTTGTTTGTCCTCAGGCCCAGCTTAGAGAGCTTCAGCAGAAGGCTGAGGACCTACACCTTAAAGTGGAGGAACACAAGAAAAGGAAACATCAAGCAGATCAGCACAAAGAGCAAACGTTAAAGACACTGCAGGCAGGTGGCGCTGGTAAGTGTCAGACTGCCCATAACTTGTCATGATTTCTTATGTGTCAGTCCTAGTTATTTGACTGATCCACAGAATGGCCTCAGTTTGCCGACATTAGGTCTTTGCCACTGTTGCCAGAGGGCCCCCTGAGTTTCATTTCTCGTTTCACACGTACAGAAAGTAAATTGACCTTAAAACCTCAGGCCTGATGCATGAGATGGTGAATGTCGGACCTTGAGAAACAGCTAGAAGGTTAAATACCAAAACCTGCACCATTGAAGTGACGGGGCAAGTATAGGAGAGTGCTGAGCAGCAGCATATTACGGTCCCTCAGCTCTCCTTTTACATTCTCAAACCATCATAGAGAAGTTGCTTATGACTCATAGGAAAATTCCCTTATCGCTCCCAGCACAAGCTGCCTCTGCATTTAAGTGACGCTCAGGCTGGAGTGTGTGAATGTAGAGAAACTTGTGGTACTATGAACTAAGAACTGAACTCAATCTTTTTTTCGGAGCTGAAGGATTTAAAATCTTTACATGTGTGTTTGGGGACAACGTGTGTGGATAGAGATTGATACAATTAAATGAGCTCAAGAGGTTTATGTTTTTTGAAGTCACACACACACACACACACACACACACACACACACACACACACACACACACACACACACATACTGTACATACATATAGACAAGTGAGGAGTGCTACATATTTCTAGTACTACATCTAGTACTTATGTAACACCCTTAATATACTCATTCCAATCAGTAAAACATCTCAGATCATGATGATTAAATGCAAGCAACAAGGTCATTGCGAAGATGAGAAAAAACCTGTTCCTGACAGTGGCCTGATTCACATACCTACTGTACCTGATTCAGTGCACCCCGGATAACTTTTGATGTTATGTGTCCTGATCAGGAACGCATCTTAATATCAGCGCGTAGAACCTTTGAAGGTAAACTGTGGTTACTGTCATTATGTGTCCAATCCCATTTTAGACCATACTGGTTTGTTTTAATGGGTGTCTTAAATATAAATATATATTTTGTCTGAACCAAAAGGACTAAAGAACGAGTTCTACCAGATCGTTATTCTGAGGCCTGGCACTTTCATTGCTTTAAATACTTTTCTGTCAGATTTCTCACTTCTGTTGGAAATTATCTTGTGTCAAACTGCCCCTCAAGTAAAAGTTTTGATTACAATAAAGGTCATTTGACTTTAGTGGTTTCCTCGGAGCATGCATCCATCACGCTCCCTGCCGTGCGAGCTGACCTTTGTCAGATGTCGTCAGCCGCTCCTCTCTCCGACGCTGCCGAGCCGTCATCTTTTTCTTCCATTACTGCTCATCCTCAGGGCATAACAACCATCAATTTTCATTTCTGTGGTCACGTTGGCATGTCTCGTCCATGTTGGCCATCCATCTAGGCTTTTATTATGCACTTCTAATGACACTCGGTGGGCATGTGGCTGCTTCTGTCTGTTGAAGATAAAGTTTTAAAGGCCTTTGGGCTCAGCCAACCTTTTTGTCCCTGGTCATTTGGATTGAATGTTACTTCTGATTAATATTGAGAGTTTAGTACTTGGCCAGAATTTGGAGTAAGGAAACAAATATAACTCGTCTGTGAGAAATGGGCTAAATGTGAAACAAATATGAACAAAAAATAATTAGTTAACATACTTTTTTGTGTTGGTGTTTGAGAGACTGGATGTCGAGCCTGCTAGTCGAGTGGGAATTAATGGTGTGCATACTCCAGCGCTGGTTGAGTATGCATAAGTATGCAGAGTGTGGAGCTCCCCCTCTCTGCCCTCTAGAGGTTGCTCTGAATGCACTTTGAATGGATTTCATTGTGTTTGAAGTTGGCTGGTTAAATGGTGTTAAATTAATAATACTGATCCATGAACTTAGTTAAAACTTTCGATGTCTTTACTGCTTTTGGGATGACATTAATTGCAGCAAAACCACTTACCAAACTGACTAACTATAAAAAGCGTAGCGCTCCTTTCAACACTGGCTACATGCTCTGGGTGACTGCTGTTGTTGTGCAGACATGTGCGGTAGAACCTGGTGGGTGGGTGTGTCAGTCAGCCCTCTCTCACCACAGAGCAGAAGGGGGCAGTGGCTGACTTTCAGACCTTTGCAGAGGTAGATAAGATTGGTTTCATATAAAGGAATCAGCTGATCGCCCATCCTGTAAAATTTAGGAAATTTGCACAGATCAATTGGTGGGGCGATCAATCGGTGCAACCCTAAAATGTAGTCATCCATTGAAAACAGCCAGGTGTGATCTTGTTGTTCTTCACGCTCTGTTTTCTTCTAAAAACAAATCCTTGCATACTCTTCTCTAGTTTTGTACCACAGCTTTACATTTAAGGCAGTGAGACCTCACCTTAATTTAAACCACCGTGCAATCCTTAAATTAGGTCATAAAGGTTTCTTGTTCTTTTTAAAGTGTCTCTAAATCGTTAAATAAATGGCCTCTTCACCCTTCTGACTAATTCACGGACACATTGTACACATCGCTCTTAGTCGTACACATTTTGGTAGCGAAACACTCTATTTGATGAACCTATAAAACTCTTGATTCTGTTATACAAGACCCATGAGGCCAAAAGTGCTGTTGCCTCAGTTAAATAAAGGAACATCACTATGTTGTGTGTTTTTCCCTTTTTTATGACTGTCATGTCTTTTTCTTTATGACCCATCAATAGTCCTTGTCAAAACAAGAATGAAAAGGCGAGAAGAACAAGCAGCTGAGCCCGCAAATTAGAACTTAACAGTCCTTTCCTTTACTGTGGCTGTCGCTCAAACGTGTCTCTGGGGCTTTGTGCACAGTTATTAAGAAGTTAAATTTATATGCTCAGAAAAAATAGTTTCTTATGTGACTGTGTGTGTGTGTGTGTGTGTGTGTGTGTGTGTGTGTGTGTGTGTTCTGCATCAAAGAAGATATGGTACCACTGTGACCATGAAGTCCACCCACCCACGTTCGCCGTATTCATACATACATTTTGCAAAGCTAGCTGCAATATCCAAGGTAAATCCTCATGAATAACAAACAGCCACTGTTCCTGGCTAGTTGGAGATGAAGCTGATCATATGAGTTGTTTTTTTGTTTTGTTTTTTCAGAAAAAACCCCGAAACATCTTACTGCCAACTCCATTAAGCCTGGAGTTCAAATTAAGGTTGCATCGATTTCTATTTAAAATGATTGTCATTTGTCATAATACCTTATGTACAGCACCCACAGCTGATTTTTAATGGAAGACCCCAGCATGGGAAGCTACAAGGCCAAGGAATTCACTCACATTTTGAATTTCTGAGTTAAACAAAAATTAAGCATTTACCTGCGTTACTCCAGTTGTTCTTCTCACCACTGAGACATCACTCTAGACCTACTCACATTTTCCATAGGTCTTAGAGTGCAGTAATATACACTGCATGAAAAATGGTTAGTGAGGAGAAAACAGACGCCTGAGCTTGGTTTGCAAAACACTTTGTGTTTCTTTAGCTTTATTTAGCAATATAGTTACTTCTTGGATTTCTTCACTTTTTTTTTACGTGTTCTATAATTTGTACTGGCATAAAATAATAGGCAGAATCACAAATACATATATGCTGTACATTTATATTACTGTTATTGTCGAGTATTTTTATTGGTGTACTCGACAATATGACTTCCAATACTTCTTTAGCTTAGATTTAAAAAACATATGGAATGAACTGGGTGGCAATGTAATATTGGCGGTACAGCTAGGTTGGTATGGCATGTTGTTTAAAAGCTTGATAGCACACGCCAAACCACTGAGAAGACACCAAGCAGGAAATGCTTAAACTTTGTCAGTCCATTCAGGCAGTGGTACACATTGCATGCTTTTTTTTCTTTAGTTTGCACTACAGTGCCACTGCAGCTAATTTTAATAGGTCACTTTTGGGTTACACCCTTGTTTCCCTTCTGCTGTTGTAAAAATGTGCTTCTGCGTTCTTAATTTATCAAGTTGCATGCAGGCTTTTTCTAGTGACTTACAAGTGTGTCCAGATGAGTTTATTTAATGAGGAATCTGTATTTAATTTGCAAGCAACTGTCAAAAAATACTGCAGTGGTCCAAATCGCCAAAAATTCATAAATTGGGAAGTTAAAACTTTGAATTTCTTGACCAGTGTCTTACTAGTTTATAAAATACAAACATTAAATTGTACTTTCCAAACATACCCTTCATATTCACATATGAAGGAAGTTTGCACAGAAGCTTATTAATTGTAAATTTAATAGAACTGAAAGGCATTAAGATCTTAGTGAAATATATATATTCTAGCACAGAGGCTATTTTTTGCATGAGGCTGTGTAGCTATTGCAAATACTGTATGTAAAAACAGAGCGAGGTAAGCCAACTCTTGTCTTGTAGTCTGCACAATTTTGAGATTTCAGGGTCTCTGAGGATGAACAGGATGCACCATGTCTGGTGCCAAACATTTTGTGTTTGTTGTAGCTTTGAAACTCCATCACCAAGTATGTTTTTAATTGAAATTAATCTTGCAAATAGGCTGCCATACTGAAGCTTAACTTTTGGATGCATTCAGCCTCTTATCTAATTTTGTTTGTTATGTAACTGAATGACGATGCCTTGAATCACATGGCAGGTCTAGGGTCTTTCTTTTGATTTTTCTTTTTTCTTTTTATTTACACTGATATACACACCTAGTAGCTAACTGCTGGTAGGTAACACAGGTATTGTAGGTAGCTTCCAAGGAAAATGGCTGCAAAACGGCTTGAGCAGACTCTGAGAGAGAGGGTTGAATCATCCTAGTAATGTGTAAATGGATGCCTGATTGCAGATACTTGTAGTTAATTCCAGACAAGTTTCTACCTTCCACACGGCAAACTCTATTCCTCTTCTCAGCGGATGTCAGTCTTTTGTACAATGTGTAGCTTCCTATGTGCGTGATCAGTCTTTTCTCAGGGTTTAGTGATGCAACATCCCTGAAATGTAGTCATTCAGGAATCTCGTCCTTGACTCGCCTGCAACTTGAAAGCAAGATTAAACAATTAAGCAAAACGTCTGCCAGAGTTGAAGTAAAATTTATACTTCTTCTTTTAGTAAAAATACATGTTCAATGCAGCACCAGCAGCCCCAGATAATTTTTCAGAAGTAATTTACCAGTAAATATTGCCTGTAGTGTAAAAGGAAAGTTATCATGTGTTTTGTTAGACTTGGAGTGCTGGAAGTGACTACAATGAGAAAGTTTTATGTGGATAACGTGGTCCGCAGCAGAGGCAGCAGCTCTGCAGTCTCCTGCTGATATGTTCCATTTTCTCTCTCTCTCTCTCTCTTTGTGCCTGTCTTTATTTTACGAGTGTGCTGTGCTATCGCCAGGGCAACATGGGTGGATGAGTGATGGCGTCCATTAGTAAACATAGTCTCCTATATGTGCCATCGGCCTAAAGAGTCCACGCCTTGAACCTGCTTTCTCTCTTCCTTTTTTCTTCACCCTCCCACACTCTCTACACTCATTTTCTTCCCCACTCCTCCCCTTACTTTGTACCACATCATTGCCTCCCACCGACTCCCGCATCCCTCCACCCCATCTTTTTCTTTCCTCTGCCTCCCTCTCCTCCCTCTTCCATCTATCCTCCTTACGGTTGTTTTTCATAGCTACAGCTCTGCAGCAGAGGGAGGGATGAGACCATTTCTCTTCCTCCTGCTCCGGCTCATTTTTTTGCGAGATGGCGACTGGAGGATGGGTTGAGAATGTCAAGCATTAGGTTGGGAATAGACTTCTGTTCAAACAAAAGATCGGCCCACTAATATGACAGATGTTGTGTGTATTGCAGGGGAATATTAGCAAATCTTGTTTTTCCCCCTCGGTAGAATCAACAAACAGGGGGGAGCAATCTGACTTTTACACAGACGTCTGCTGCTTACATTCACGTCACGGCTGAATAGATGTGATTCACAGTTTTGCATTCAAATCTCATCTAAAAACAGCACTTCTTAGTGCCTTTTTTTGGGTTACATTCTGGCAAGCCTGTTCCTCAAACTGGGTTTCTCTCCATGAAGCCCACACCCTCTACAGGCCCTTTACTGTACACTGGAGAAGGTGTGTGTGTGTGTGTGTGCGCGCTAATTTCACAATTAGCTTTTTCCGTAATTAGGACGGAAAGATAATTGCGGCGGATGTGCGATTAGCATTATGTAAAGTGCTTTTCTCGCAGACTTAGGGGCCAATCAGTTTGCCCCCTTTACATTCTCCTTTCTACTGATGATGTGGAAGATGCTGAGTGTGTAGCACAAGAGAACTTCCTCTCCCTCCCTCTCTCTCACCCTCTCTCTTTTCCTCTCTCCAATGAAAGCAATTCACATAAAATGAATCGGTCCAGGTCACATGCTCGTTTAGGAAGCGAGCTGAGGAACTTTGAGCACCCCCTTTTCATCTGCCTGTGAATGTGAATGGAGGAGAGGAAAATCGCTGTCACACCAGCCGTTACAGCACAAAGCCTCCTGATTGCATTCTGGACTCTGACATGTTTTTTTATTCCTACAGGGAAACCAAATGTTCCTACACAGTGTGACTGACTCATTTCCTGATTGCCAAAGAACGTCCACCCCCACCACTTCTCCCCCATTCCTCTTTTAAAAAAAAAAAAAAAAACTCGTATTCCTGTCTCGCAATTTGCAGTCAGCTGTATGATGATTTCTAATAAAATATGTGAAAATTTAACATAGCTGTGGTATGGAATGTAAACTTAATTAAAATGTTCTTTTCCTTTTAGGTTCACGACAACACAATAACACTGCCTCTGGTCTTTTCCAGTTTCTTGACAACAATAAAGATGGAAGGTAAAAAAGCCACGCACTTCTAATTATTTTTGTTGAATATTAAAACATGACAACGCCCCCCCCAAAATGATAAAGCTGTGCTTTTTTTTACTTTAGCAAAAGAAAAATAGTGATACACATATTATTGTGATTTACATATATAGAGAGACCCTGTATTTGTATATATATATGTGTATAGAAATATATGTAAGCATATCTTTATCATTATTAATATCATTTTTTATGCTATTGTGTTTGTATAAAGCAGTGTTATCAAACAGTGTCCGAAGGAAACGCATCACATACTGTTCAATGAACCCATCTTTTTCTATGTTTTTTTCTGCAATGCTATCCTGACCCTTCCATTCCTCCTCAACCCACCCCGCCTTGGGAGGGATAAAAAGTCAATACTGCTTAAGCTAACTGGTTGTATTCTTGCGGAAGGGAAGATAGCCTGGGCATAGTAAACTAAAGGTCCCATAAAACATATGGCTGCATGGAGGACAAAGTGCTGGTGCAGCAAATTTTCCGGCAGGCTCTTATGTATTCCTGCGTCTGGATGTCTACCGTTATTCAGCCCTCTACACAATCTTTTCCCATTTCTCTGCCCAGCTCTGCCTCCATTTTATCCTTTTATTCCACATGGAGACTCTCTGTGCCTGCAAAATAAACACATTGCAAAGTTGTCAACCTTGATTTAACCGATGTTATGACAAACGTAGAGCCAAAAGTCGACGTCATGCATGGTCAGGAATTTTTATCAGTCTTCATTAACATTTACGTGGCATACTCTTTATGTTTAGCAGAGAAGATGGGGTCCGTTCCTCATGGTAGTTGGTGAAACAATTCCCTTGTTCTGAATCCACTCAATTGAAATTAATACTTACCTTTAGACTGTCAGCTAACCTTATATCAGTGTCAATTGAAAGAATGTTCTTCATAGAAAATGACAAATACACAGGCCAAACTGAATCATCAAACCTAAGGCTATATGTTTGGAAACATTGAATTTAAATACAAACATTGTAACAAGACCGTGACCAATATGGTACAGTTTAGTGGACCACATAACACAAACGATTCTAGAATTATAGCTCTAAACTTAGCTCTAATTCCAACATAACCCCCAGTGCAGTCCTCAAGCACATTCAGAAATGGTTTCTGTTATTGGTCTTTTCTTTACCATCAAATGGAGATGCATATGGCCCAATACTCATACTCTAAAACACACTTCAATCCAGCAACTCAATACAGCTTGTGGGTTTTCCTACTGCAGTTCAGTGTCTCATTGTCCTCATTGGTATTTTATTTAAGTAGGTCAACAATGTTTACCATGAGATTTGTTCTGTTAGGATACGAGCAGTCTATGCATAGAAAAATACTGGTGTGATGCATCCTTGCTCGTATGCTGTCTCTCAGTCCTGTTATATAAGGTTAAAGAATTTTGAATATACAGTCTTGTCTAGAAACTGAGTCTATTGCAGTGTCTTGGTACTTTAGGGTGAAAAATTGCCCCCACACATTAGGTCATTAAGGCAACACTTGCACTTCCTCCCCGTTATCTCATCCTCAACCTTCCTGAGAACCACACACAAGTGCAGCCCCTTGTGCCAGCTGGCAGTCAGTTGGCAGCCCAGTGCAGGATTAACTAGTACCAGTACGCTGGCCTATAAATAGAGTCTACCAACTGCTTCAGGAAATGAACCATGATGGAGCCTCCCATAGGCCCACGAACAGGTTGTGCTTTTTATCCCCCTCCCCTCCGTCCACATTTATCAGTCTGTATGAGAGCAGAGCTTACTTCTCCTCAGTGGAACATACTGTGGGCTGTGCAAAGCACTAGCTCTGGTGGTGCAGTGGTTTACATTACCTACATAAATAAATGCCCCCTGCAGTAGGAGCCAATGCCATATTTCTGCCTCTTCAAGGCTCCTTCCTCCGCTGACTCACAATAGAGAAAGACTTTTTTTTTTCCCCAGCACTTACCCCAATCATTGATCCTTTGCAGTAGAACAAGCTCTTTGCTTTGTATGTTTGTCTGCACATCCGCTTTTGATGGACTCCTGGGATTGATCTCGGCTACGTAGTCATTATCTCTGCTCTGTAGTGTTAGTTTAGGTGGAACCTTTTCAGAGATGCCATTGGGGAAAAACAGTTAAAAGAAAAAAAGAAAAGAAAAACAGAAAAGATCCAAGTGTCCTAGTATAAGAGGTGTAATTTTGATCATACTCTTCACAGCATTATGTCGCTCACAATATGCGGTGGTTAAATAGAGGTTGGTGAAAAGCACAGCGAGTGAGTCAGTGCTATGCTGACTAAGGCCAATCTGGAGAAAATGAAAATGAATTTACCCTCAGGTGAAGCAGCAGTTACGTTTGTTTTCATATGGAGACAGGAGTAGACCAAGATAACTCCAAACATGTTGTGATACACAATCTAATATTTTAAAAGCTGCAAGAATACTAATTTGGAAGTGCAAATTTGGCACAATCTACAGAGTCTCCCCAATTATAAATAAACTCCATACAAGTCCATACAACAGATTGAGGGACGTTTTTAGAAAAGGCAAAGGCATTAATGAGTGTTTTCATGATGAATTCACAAGTGATGTGAACAAACATGTAAATCATTTAAATGAATGTTATTATTTTAGTGTTTTCGACTATTTTCTTTAGCCCTTCTTAAACCAGGGTCCCCCTAGTTCCACGAAAGAGACCCTCCACTAGGTCCTCTATTAGTCTTGAATGTTATTTTAAAAGGCATGCTGGGAGTACAAAACCAGTTGTGGTGTGTCTGCGTTTTTCTGTGTGAGACCAGTATTTTCTTGCCTGTAATGCCTGTTTACTTTTTACATATTCATCAGTCCTACTTCATGTCTTGTAGCTGAGGCCCTTAAGTCAGTAAAAAGAGTTCTCCTAATTACATGTTGTCAAAGTTTTTATGGTTTTAATAAATGCACAACATCAATGGCAGGCTCTGTACTAATGCTCATTCCTGTCATCTGTTGAAATACAACAGTATAACAGTGGACGAAGTCCAGGCGAGGGTGGTGACCATTCATGATGAGAAGCGGTTGCTGTCTGAGAATGAAGCAGTGGTGAGTGGCCATATTAGTCATACAGTCCACACTAAACACTCACACACACACACACACATATATATATATGTATATATTTATATATCTATATGTATGTGTATGATCAATTTGCTATGAAAAAAACACAAAAGTTGCACATGTAGTCTAGTCTTGATTCGTGACCTGCCTCGGACTCTAATTGTTTTTGACTTGGACTTTGACGTGAAGTTCTGGGGAGCTTGACTGGAACTTGATCTCAGTGACTCAACATCCTGAAGACCTAACTAAGGCTGGACTTAAATGTCCTTAGATACTTGGACATGGACCCAAATACTACAAACTGGAACAATAGTCACTGTCATCATCATAGTGAAACCAAAAGATAGTGTAGCTATAGTTTAGCCCAGAAAAATGTTTTTTATTTTTGGCGTGGTTTATAATATGCATTTTAAAACATCCCTTCATCTTAACTAAGGGATGTGGTGTAAACTTGGTTCACCTTTATATTAATGGAATATGTTTTAGGACTGTTGAAAGTGTCCACCATTGGTGTTATGTTTCATGCATTGCAGTCCTCTTCTAAATTGTGAAGTTGAGAACACTACATCTCCATCCACCGAAGATGCTCTGTGATATTTATTTTTTCTTTCTTTGGAGAAACGTCAGTCACCTTGTTTGTTTTGTTTTTTAGTTTTTTGGTTTTTCCAACTCGCACAATAGGAGCCCTTCCATATTCATTTGGATTCTGAGTTCTCCAACGGTGATTTTCCCCTCCAGCTGCATTTTGGGAGAGCGACGCTGTCAGTTTCACTTTAAATATGTTGAGCCTCCTTACTCAGGCAACATATATCAAAATTGCTGGCTGTAAACAAAATGGCAATTTTTTTCCCCTCTTTTCCTTTCCACCCTGTATTTCTTTTTATTCTGGAAGTTGTTATGTGCAATCATCCACTTTCACACATACAAGGAAATGTTAAAAAAAAGCTTCTCAGCTGTCTTGCTGTTTAATGGTAAAATTGAACCCAATGGTTTTTGGACGTTTTGCAACAGCTTTTAAGTTTTTACCTTTCATATAATGTCCACCATAAGAAATGGTAACGGAAGTGTTTTTGAAAACAACCTGAAAAGGATGCTCGGAGAGCTCTGTTAAATTCTTACTGCTGCTATCAAACGTGAGGAAAACACTCTTAATGAATCCAGCAGCATCTGAAGAGCATGCATCAGTATGAATATGCATGAACATGAAAATAAGCACTTAACTGCCGCCACAACAATGCTCATCACACTATGGCAAAAAATTTAACACGCTGCCAATGGCAGTCGTTAACGGGTGACTCGCATTAAATCCGACAGGCGGCCGCGCGGACAGCACTTTAATCCAAGTCCAAAGGAAACGCTCTAACTCGGTTAATTCTGTTTATCAGGCAAGGATTTAGGGCTTTTGTTTGCCCAACACTGTGTTATCTTCTTGTCTCTTTTTTGTCTGTCAGCGTTTCTACCAAAGAAAGTCAATTTTTTGGCAATCCTAGAAAAGCAGTGTTGTTGCTGCACAGAGCATGTTTGAAATAAGTGTAAATCCTTTCATTTTGATGAATATCAAAACACACTGGGTGTTCATGCAGTGTTCTGATGTAGGCAGAGTGGAGGAGACTTGTTTTTTTTACCTCATTGGTGCTGCTTTTTAAAGGAATTAACTACAGCTATACACTCACACAAACTGTATTTTACCATTATTTTTTAACACCTTTTTATTAGTTTTTCCCTCACTTTTTCGCCCTTCCTCTTTAAAAAGCTTTGGCTTCCACGGAAAATTCAGTTTCCACTTCAGTGGCCCAAATAATTCAAGAACAGAGAGGATTTTCAGGAGAACAATTTGATGATCAAAGGAGGCACTCAACTCCGGGAGGAGGAAAATGGATATTTCTGAAGTGCGCTTCCCTCAGTGTTCTATCATAATGTTATAGCCCTACATTTATGTAGAAACCACTGTTAATGTAGAGTTAAATTCCCTCACATTCAGGAGATAATCACCAACTCCCATCAAGATTGTTTGGTCACTCTCAAGAAGTATTTCCTTATCAGGCAGCATCAACCCCTGAGACATGATACACATAATATTTTAATACTGAAAGGTGAAACCTATGAACTACCATATGTTGGCATCTTGCAATGATCAGACTGCACCTTTCTCCAGACGTTAACCGTAGGACAATAATTTCTCGGGAGCAATGATGTGTGACCAAGCTCAGACTGTACCCATGAACAGGATATTGCCTTTCCTCAAAAAATGGCCATTTGTGTGCAGGTGAATTCCACTTATCAAGCCACTATCTAGCTGCTATCCTCCAGAAGCCCCTTGCTCGGTCTACCAGAAGGAGAAAAAGATTGATCCTAGAATTTCCACAGACTAAAAAAAAGGCTTCCTTACATTTCGAGGGGACATGATACAGTATGCTGAGACAATTTTTGGAATTATGCCAACAATCAAAAGCAATCAGAATTAGGAATTTTCAATAAGCCTTGCTAAGGAGCAAAAGAAATCCTGCTTGATGCACATATTAGTATTAAATATTTCCCCTGGCCTCATATACTCAATAAGAAGAGCTGCCATTAGTCAGTAACAAGGCAGAACTGAAGCATTTGGGAGGTAGTGATCCACAGATGAATATGGAAACAGAATTCTCAAGATCTTATTACAATGAACTCTAAGGTGTAGTGTAACCTTGAGGAAAATCTATAGCATCATGTCACTGCTCCCATACCAGGCTAAATGCTGGGGTTCAAGTAGTTGTATGAGACTACTTCGACTTCTGTAAAATGAATTTGATTTTGGGGCCACGTCTTAATAGGACAGCATTTCTGAACTTTCTAGCTTTATTAAGGAAGCATACGGAAAGAAAATACTCCCACACATCTCAGAAAGTCACAGATAAACCCCTTCTGCTTTACATGGTAATTGATGACCTGAATCTTGGTTTCTAGGTCACACCAAAACCTTTCTAATGGAATCAATAAAAAAATCTGCCATGGACGGTGCACCTCAGTGGTAAGCAGTGGTAACTTAGCAGCTTGGGGATTTGAACCGGAAAACCTTATGGACCCAAGTTGCTTCCTTAACCATCAAGCCACCACTGGTGGTCCTAGAAATTTGCCCAAAACGTTTGTATGGGCACTTTGTATGATATCTCTTATGCTGCTTCAAGTATGGATGATGAAAGTAGGTCAGGTTGTCATCATCATCATCATCATCATCATCATCATCATCATCATCATCATCATCTCAGGGCTGTGACTGCTCCATCTAACTACTTGCATTTGTCAATCACAGGGTTACCCAACACGGTACAAATCCCCCCTGAAAAAGCCAACGTTTAAAGAACACGCTTTAAAACCTTTAAAAATTCCAAGTTTCATCATTTTTGTTTTTAATGTACAGCCAGCCTAAGAATACCTTATAACTATCAAAGTTAAATTTATCTACAATCTCTAGGGCCACCATATCCATACAATAAATACATCTTTGTGTGACCATATTTATCACATTAACCACTTCGTACTTAGAAGTTACAGTTGTTATTGTTAGCATTGCTTTTTATGACTATTACATTAGCTGAGGTGCTTTATGTAATTCCCACATTAGCATATGTCCAAAAAATGTTAGATATTATTTTGGTGTTTTTTTTTATATGATCTATCCAAAGGTGCAATACTTTGTCACCACATACAGGGGTGGCCTTTAGTTGTTTTTGGTTTCAGTTGTCTTACTTGTCATATATTATTTATACTCCCTTATGAGCTCTAAGTTTTTCTGTTTTTCAGATATATGTTTAAAGCTTGTTAAAGGTTTTATTTATCTAAACAAAACAGACTGTTGTTTATTCTTGTTGTTATCTCTTGTAATTACAAATCAGAACCATCCCACAGAGACGGGAAAGAAAAAATACCATAGACTTTTTCTTTCTGCATTTGTGACTGTAATGAGCAAAAAACGTAGTTTTGTTTTTATATTGCTGCTTAGGCGTTAAATGTTGCCAGTGGTTGAATGGAGAACCTTTTAAAATGTTTACATATGTACAGTATTTTGTGCGTTTCCTTGCTAGTCACCAGAAGGGGGCAGCAGACCCCCAAGCTAATTGAAACGGGAAAATAAAGGAAAGTCACATTCACAGGTCATTTAATGTCTTTGTTTTTTCATGGGCAGGGCCTCTGGTGTTTCTATCCTGCTTTGTGATCAGAAAAAGAAAAAAAAATGAAAGACTGAGAAGAGAGAGAGAGAGGGAGACGGATGGAGAAAGAGACTTTTCCCCGACAATAACAATTCTTATCATGTTTTTAAGGCATCCGTGGGGAGGTTTTGTAATCTTAGAGCGATTTTGGGATTCATTGTTTGAGATCTTTAGGATTCTCTGAAGGGAGAAAGAGAGCACAGTTTCTTTCCATCTCTAAAGCTTTATTTAACTACTGAAATGTCTTTTTCTGGAGCACTGTGCGTTCTTGCGTCACTTAGAGCACCTCAGAAGTTTAATATCTGCAGACCTAAGCTGTACTTAGGGTTCCAGTCATTTTTAACAGGCTGTATGGATGTAGGCCATGATGTTTCTTTTATAGCTTATGCACAGGCTTCCTGTTCTGTGCTGCATTGGCTTGTGGAAAGTAGTTAAGGTGCACCTTCCACAGCTCACACCTAACTAATGTCGGAATGAGGTTTGTGCAGGCAAGCAAAAACATAGTGTTAAACGTACAGACTTTGCAGTTTTTGAGAATATTAAACCTGCTGGTAGATGAGGGTGGCTGGGGTTCAGCGCCTCCTCCTGTCACATGTGGCAGGGTTTTTTTTTTTCCTTTTCCTTCACAGCTGGAGCTTTTTCAAGTTGTATAACATGAAATGACAAGCAGCGAGCAGAGGAGGGATGTGTGGTTTGTAGGCTGTAGTGAAGGAAAGTGACCTGCTCAAGAATGTTGTGATGTGTCATGTTCCTTTAAGCCAAGAGAACAGTGAAGTAAAGTGGCAGAGGTGGAGA